AGAACTCTACATGTTTCATTGGAAAGAAGGTTGGAAGAGGAAGGAAGTAAAGTAAAATATGGCAAGTTTCTAATCATACAGTTATCTATTAGAATATGAACATGTGAATTGCAAATTCTTGTTGGTTGAGTTCAAGATAACCTCTTGTTATTTTAACAATGTTATGACTGAGATTCCTGCCCATCCAAGCATGACTTTTCTGACAATTTAATCTTTCTGTCTCAGTACAGCAATTAGCTCTGAAGCGATCTATTTAAATGCATCTTGTAAGAAATAAGCCAAAATCCCCGGAAAACAAAAAACAAAGAATGAAGAAGGTAAACATACACTGAAGAAGTTTACAAAGGAAGGATCATCACGAGAATCTGTCACATTAGTGGTAGTTAAAGATGATGGCTCTAGAGGACCATCCATTACAGCCATTGATGGAACTGCTTCTAGTTCTTCGAACTCACTGCATCAAAACAATAAAATGATTTCTCGAGAGGAGACACGTCCCAAAAAAAAAAATTGACAAATGAGAGAGGAATAATCAAACGATGAAGTGTAAATGATTCTGTGTAATGATAATACGGGTTGCCTAAGATATTTATAAAGTCTCCACAATTACAGGGCGACAAGGAATTGAATCCTGAAATATAATTTTTTTTTTTTTTTGATAACCGTGGATGTCCGGGCCAGCTTGCGCGCACCTCGACTAATTCCACGGGGCCCTGAAGTTTACGGTCGGGTACTCACCTCAGTGGTTTTGAGGGGATTCGAATTGATGACCATTGGGGAGCAAACCCAAGGCCTACCAATTGATCAACCCCTGAAGGTTAAATCCTGAAATATAATATGATTGTACTTATATCCTCGCGTGCCTAAAGTAACATATTTGAATGAGTTACCTACAACATATAAGTTGGAAGAGTAGGGGTTAAGTTGTAACCCAAATAAATATATCAGGCCAACTGGAAAATAGGACCGACAATTAACCCCTTAAGCCTACAGCTTATATACATGGATCTAGGACGTAACAACATTAATTGAGAGGTGCAAGAAGCACTGAAGCAGCATATAATCTGGAGAAACAGACGCAAACTATTTAACAGAGCATAAACACATTTGATCAGACCTATCTAGTCTAGTCTATGTTTTCTGCAGGTAAATCTTCCAAGTAACGGAGAATGCCATCCTGTGGGTTACTATTGAAAACACTGTGTTTAATTTAGCATAAATTCTACAGCTATATAATGCTTTTCCATAAATGCACCAGTTAAAGAACCTACTTCATCTTTAGTCCAATTCAAGAGTGGAAAGCAAATCATAAATGTCATCTTGAATGAGCTGGGTAGCTGGTTACGGAAAATGAGAATAGTTAAAAGCCCCATTGAGTCATTTGAGTGATTCCATTGACATCTATTTTTCGATAATCCTGAGATTAGTAATTCTCAAATGTACACCTCTTTTATAAAAAACTCACACAGAACTAATAAATTACAAGCTTGACTATATAATACACCATATCAACATAAGGAGATAAATAGACCGTGACTGCAATTTTTCACAGTGAATCAATGCCTAGTCGTATATAAGTGAAAGTCTCAAAGGTTCAGATTATGTAAGTGCATGATTGTTAAAGCTTATAATTGATTATAGGGATATTAGCCCCATTCACGATGGCAAATAAATTAATGTAACTTTAATGCCACAGAGACTCGCGACGACGACAATGAGTCCAGATAAATAGCATTACTCTTGATTATAAGACGTGGGTCCCAAGGAATGTGCGGTTAAAAGTAGGTGAAAACATATGGATCATACCAAAAGTTTGGATAAAAATAGAGTTTGACCAGTTTCTAAGCAATTATTAGCTTTGACAAACACGCACTAAGTTATTTTTACTTGAACTTTGTTGTATCAGCTCACATAAAATTGCCTGCATTCATGGATATCAATTAGCAAGAACCAGCATTACCTTTCCCTAGAAGACACTTTTATCTTTGTAGGCACCTTGGAATAAGCGTTGAGTATCCTATTAATAAAAAAAAAATTAAAAAAAAAAAAAAGATCAGTACTAGAATAATGAAATACATACTGACACAGAAAAATAAAATTTGAAAGAAAATGTAAATCAAATACAAGAAAAAGAAAAAAAAAAGGGCAAGGGAGTGATTTAAAAGTAATATCTTCAACCTCCAGCACTAATAGAATCATAAATCAAGTAGAAAGAAAACTGAATTTCATTATGAAAAAACACTCAATTTCATTTATTTAATCAGCCTTCAACAAAGAAATTAATTGGCACAAACAGATTTCAAGAAATCTAGGAATTCAACGTTTTAAACCAACTTCATTATTCTTCCAGTTACAGTTAGTTGAAATTAAGCATTGAACAAGTGTTCATATGTTGCCAAAAATAACTTTATTTATTAATACAAGCAACCAACAAAACGGAAAAGCACAAAAAGAATTACACCCATATAAGAAAACGGAGAAGAGGAATAAAACAAAACACCTACCTACTAAATAGATTCGCCACTTCTTCACATTCACGTGCATTGTAGAACCATATTCCATTTACCTCTTGAGCAGCATTACGATACAATAAATATGGGACCTGCACTTCATATTCAAAATCTGCCAAGAGATTCTCCACCAAATTATCTGCTCAAATCAATGAACTAAGGCATCATATCACATATACAACATAATTCATCCTTGTATCAATTGCATTTTCACACAGTTTCTTATTAATTACAATCAATTTTCCATGCTATTCATTTAAATGTAACCAAATTTACTGAGTAACCTGTATTCCGGCGATTCATTACTATAAACTGGAACCGAGGTTGAGTATTCCTGAAACACCAAAATTTATTAAATGCATAAAACCTCAAAAATCAGTCCAAAAAAAGGAAATCAAGCTTCACAAAAATTCCTAAGAAGAAAAAAAAACTACCTTTTCACCACAAAGAGAGAACCTTCCACATCCTTTCGACTCTGCAAAAAATAATCAAAAAGCCCTCACCAATCATTGTGAATAAAAGTCAAATTAATAAAACGAAGCTAGGCTGTATTTCAACACGCATAAAACCCACATATGTACGTAAATTCCTCGATTTAGTGTATAAATTACCCATTGGCTCGTATCAACGTTGAATTCGTAGAAGGTGACATGGGCAGCGGTTATTAGAATTTCTTCAACAAACGGATCGATTCGCTGCAGCACCGTCAAATTCAGCACCTTCGTACTCTTCTCATCCAGATTCGGCATCAATTTCGCATTTTGCGACATCTGTATATACCCACCGTTTTCCCTCTATGTAGGCGTATGTAAATTAGTTTACAGAGTTTTATAAAGCGAGAGGGATATCGAAAGACTGTAGAAGAAACAGCAGCTTTTGCTCCTCAAATTTATGTACGCATGGTCATATAGATACAATATATATACAGATGGATGCACCCCGCTCCATTGGCCCGGGTCCGGGGTCCGGCTGGATTCACGGGTTTGGATAGATTCTATTGTACATTCAAATGACAAGATACCTTTCCTTTCAATCAAAAAGTAAGTCTTTTTTTATTATTTTTAATTTTACATGAAAGAAAAGAATTTGGATAATTAGAAGGAAAAAATGGTACCATTGTTACTTTGCCTTCACCAACCAAATGAGAGTCCAGATAAATCGTGATCGAGTATGAAAGATGGATAGTTGAATTATAGAAGTTCAAGGTTCAGAATGTGTTAGAGCTCGACTTTTCAGTCTCATTAATGCCTCGTTTGTCTCCCATTATTTCAAAACATCGTTTGTTACAGTAAGATTCTCTACCACACATTTATCGAATAAAATATTAGATATACAAACCAATAAAGTTATTTTAAATTTCAACCACATACTCTCCAAAAAATACTATTCATTACTCAATTTCTTCTAAATAATGAGAGAATCACTAATCATCTTTGGCATTTGCTGGATAAGATTGGACAATCTAATGCAGGTATAAAACATAATTCATCATCAATTTAATACTTCCTTTTTTCTATTAATGTTGTGTTTGATACACATTGTGGAGAAAAGAACGCATTTTTTCAAGTGATGTGATGAAAAATATGTTGTTAAAAAATCTGGAAATTTTTTAGATCTGCGTGTAATATTATTTTATTGATGAATGTATGGTTGAAAATGAGTAGAGTAAAAATGCATTTTTCGAAACAACTATACTACACTTACTGAAAATGGTTGACAAACACTTTGACCGAACACTCACAATATGAGGAGGACCCACATTTTTTTGGCATTTTTTATTCACACGGGACTAACACACATGTGAGAGGTTGTCAAACTCGTTTTCATTCATTTTTGGTATAAATGGAAAAACCCTTTTCGAAAATGTATGGGTATCCTATAATGAGCATACGCATGTATCAGATCTTTCTATGCATGAAGATAGCATTATTCTAAATTTTATCAGTCCGAAGAAGAAAATGATAAAGCTAGTCGAAGACACGGTAATACTTATAAATCTCTTGGAGCATTTGAATAAAAAGTGATTTGGACGTTGAGTCGAAGAGTTTCTAAAATGCATCCCCGCCTACATCGAAAAGGTGATGTATTGTCAAAAAGAAATATTACACTTCCTAAAATGCATCCCCGTCTACATGAAAAAACATGTACAGTGATGTGACGTCTAGGTCGAAAAAACATGTACAGTGATGTGATCAATCAATGGCTTTAATGAATCCATGTGAAAGAGCAATGACAAAGAAGTAAAGAAGAGAGTACATATATAAGAGCGTACATATAGCATGATTGATGTACATATATAAATGAAGTGCATAAAGTGCAAATCATTGATGATTATAAATAACAATTACACAAAGCAACACGCATCTGTAAACTCAAGACACTGATTTTATTGTAATATTCCTATAAAATAGGATGGGATGTCCAGAGTTCTACAAACTATAAGTAAAAATAAGTAAAATTTTGAAACGGTCATAGGAGTCCAGGATTTCGTCATTCGGTTGCCTTTCCTTTACGTCTGCTGCTACTGCTCGTTTCGACCAAGTAACAAACCATTGAATCCACATCGTCCCCAAAAATGCTGTAAGCCTCAATCACTTGCAAATAGCTGAACCCCATAGACAACATACTCTGCATGCTGCCACTTAGAACTGTAGCCGGCAAGCCACTTTCGTACACTCCTTCCTTTCTCGTATCACTGCCCGATGACCCTGATTCACATATTCACATACTGGTCAGTTGTTAATATCTAGAATTGTGAAAATGGGCCGGTCATTAAAATCCAACCACTGCACGACATGCAGGCATAAAATAACTGTGAAAGAATACGACACTCACTGGCTGCGGAAGAAGATGGTTCAGCACCCGAAGCAGAAGAATGACCAAGCTGTTGCTTGAACGAGTCATCAGCAAGATATTCTGCCCTTGAAGCTTCCATCACCATGCGCTCGATTTCCTTTTCAGTTAGCTCAAGATCTGAGTATAACCGCCCCTCAGCTAAAAGTGCCTGCCAATAGATGAAACTCATCTCATTTGGTGCAATACAATGAATACAGATCATTCTCCATCACCAGTGAAAAGAAAAATTACATTATCAATCTGTTGATCTTGTTGAGCTCTGATAGCTGCTTTGATCTGATCCTTATCCACATTTGTCTGTTATATTTACCACAAAACAAAATTTTGTGAAAGAACTATCAGGTTGACCAAAGAATGATAATGAAAAACTATATAATTGTTAGGTGTTATGCTCATTTTTATGCATGATGTGAAGATATTTGTGTTTAATAGATCAAGACTTACCCCCTGCAGAGAGCTAAACCCAAGTCCAGCACCAATGGTCAGTCGACGAGGATCAAATAGAGAGTTATAATGATTTCCATGATGGTAACTCAGCCGTATCGGAGGCGTGTCTGTATTATAGCTTCCATGGAATGTGTTTATGGGTTCTAAATCAAAGAAACTGTGTCATTTACATGATTGACTAACCAAAACATAGATTATCTACCGAATGAATGCTAATATCAAACATGATCTTATATAAGCAAGCACCTGTGCTGTAAGAATATATATGGATTGGTCTGTTGTACATTTCAGATAGAGCTTGGATCTCAACATTGTTACCGTAAACCTGAAACCCATCGGACAATGCATGTTATTTAGATTTGAAGATCAAAAGTGACTTAGTGCCTAACAATAGCCCCCTTCTCTCTCTCTCTCTCTCTCTCTCTGTGGGATGTCAGAGGACAGGTAAACTGACCCTTGAAAGGTAGAAAACTTCATTAGATGCCGCTAATTTAAGCTGTACACACACACAAAGGTAAAAATTTTTATCTTTCAAGATCAGAACTCTGCTCCCGTGTGTGTGTGTGTGTGAATGAGAGAGATAGAGAGAGAGAATATAATTTAGATCCTGCATTTTGAAAGCAGAAATTCTCCTTCATTTATCAAATATATGGCAACTTTTCTGCCATTCCTCAAACCCACAAAGAATCAAATCATGGGCAAAATTCACATCTATTTATCTTCAGAAAGAAGGTATTCATAGCATGAAAGATCAAGCACTGAACTCCAGATCTTTTCCTCATGATCATGGTCCAGGTAACAAAGGAGATTTCCAACAAAGCCTAGCCATATACTTCCAACATCTCATTCTATTTCTGAAGAACCAAATACAAGGAACTCAATTAATAGAATAACCACGTCTCGTACCTTATCTCTTCTCTTCCTCTTACAATAGGTAGTGAAACCTTCTGTTATAAATTGAGAGAAGTGATCTCTTTCTCGCTCCTGCAAAAGAAAATTTATTATAGCATACTTCAGTATCAACAAACCTAACTGGAGGCATTCCCTCATACACCTATGCAGCTCATTCAAACAGAGGAAATTCAAAGCTTCTTATCGACATCAAAGCATTTATAGAGCCAGCACAACACTAAATACATGTGTGTAATATTACAAAAAAGGTATTAACTATAATCACCACTGGTTAAACATGTACCAATGAAACCACCAAGAAAAAATTGCACAGTGGTCCTTAACAGAGACAGTTAAATACAAGAAATGAAGCCTCACTGCCTCAGATAGACTAACTACACTGGTTGTCTCTTACTTAACTCAGACACGACTGTTTATCATTGATTTAAGTCACATATAGTACACATCGATGGACAATAAAGTTAACCGGACGGAAGCTTTCATAGAAGAGTTACATCTGGTCTTTTTCTTTTCTTAATAGTTAATACTGATGCATGTGCGCGCTCAATTGTAGACTAAACCATATACATCTAAGCACTAGAGTGGAATTAGATTTTTATTCACTGGATTGCAGAAAAGTATTATCCTTGTTAGGGCTGTCCGTGGGTCAGTCAGAACCGAACCGACCCAAAACTTTCGGGTATTTAATAAATGAAAACGTTCGGATTCGGTTACGTTTCGTTCGATTCGATTCTGTACCATAATTAAATTTTTTAATATTTACGGCAATACTACATAAATACAACTTTTACAAACTAACTTAGCCTAATTCAAAAATATATAAATAACTAGCCGTCCAATATGAACCGCAATCAAGAGTTTTATTTAATTAATTTGTTTAGAAAAAAAATAAAATAATTTAATTAATTCAATATAAAAAATAAAATAAAATTATTCGGTTTTTCGGTTCTTGGTCTAGACCCGACCCAAACCCATCGGTTCTCAATTCGGGTACCCGTTCGGGATATTTAACTTATGAAGAACTGCTCGGTTCGGTTGGGTTCATTCCGGTCCGGTTCGGTTCGGGACTTTTGGATATCTCTAATCATTGTCCAGGAGCAAAAAGGTGCTCCTCACAAATAAATGAGGGGAAAAAAAAAACAAAAAGTTCAGCCAAAAAAGGTTCAAAGCGCCTATCTGTTTATATAGATATACATGTATGAATATCAGTGTGTACATGCATATTGCATATAGATGTTCAATCAAGTTGACACATTAATAACTCACTTTGCTTGATTTGGAACTGTTAAATTAAGCACTGTGGAAGGAAATAATATCCAAGGTAACTACAGGGTTCCTTTTGCACTAGCATGCTTAGTTTCCATCCATTAATGTTTTTTAGCGCTCCAAAAGTATCTTTCTCAAGTCTAGGGTGCGACTTATTGAATACATCTATCATATGGGATTTCCAGTTCTCTCTCAATATACCAAAATGCCAAATAATTCAAGAAGAGTGAATAAAATGTTAAGAAATCCTTTAGGCCCCCCAAGATAGGCATCAGAAGTAAAGCCTAACAGAATTTTTGACACATCATTTGCACCAGAGTTAGGTTTGGACGTGTTATATACTGAAGCATGATAGGCGCTTCATGTCAGCAACAAATATTGAACCATACTACCATATGTTATATTTATATTTGATAAATGAAGCTGCCACTTTTATGGTTTTGTGAATTTAAAATATAACATGCAGTACAGTGAACAGTTAAGATTGATCATATGAACAGCAAAAATATTCCTCACAAAACTGTCTGCTTCTGAGCTACCCCTAGTCTATCTGCATGACATGTAATAGTAGTCCAAAAAGAAAGGATTGGATATCAATTTTCATATTATCCCGTCATAACAGGAAAATAGTATCAACTTTGAAAATTACATACTCCATGTATTTCGTTAAAGAATGAGAAACCCAACAAATAAAATTATCAGAATATGAATGCAACAGATGACCCAACAAATTAAATCTCACTCTACTTACCAATAAATAGAAGGCATTCTAGAATACTTATCTAATGAAAAAGAGTAGATTGAAGGTAGTTGAGAACACTGTCAAGTCCAGTTAGTGTAGGTTTCCAATCACTCACTAGGGGAAAATCAAGATAAGGCAAACATTACAAACTAAGAATAAGATGTACATTCCCAAGCCAACAATGTTCCCTTAGATTGCTCAATGCAGTCCAATCGTGACCGTATTTCTATAACCTTTTTAAAAGCAATCCATCAGTGCTTCAAAAGACATCACCTAAAATGAGATCTTTTAGGAATCAGAGAAATTATTGACATGTACTACCTACACAGAAGAAAATACAAGTGAAACTCTTAAGCATAACTACATAAAAAGCGCCATACCATGTAGTCAATGCACATCTGCCTAACCAAATCATACTGTTCAGAGTCACCATATACTTGATCTGCAACAGCACGGAAGAGGCAGTTCCCATCATCTAACATTTTCCTCACTTCCAAACCTTTAACTCGTCTTAAATCGATCTCAAACTGGCGCTCTCTCTCCTGCAACAAATAGAACAGTTCTTTTATATTGTATTAGACCAGCAGTCTCCAACCTCATTCCTACCATAAGGCCTTTTGCTTTGGATAAATAATGTAAAATGACATTTTCCATAAAAAAAATGAGCACTCTCCTTAATAAGTTTGAAAATGTGAAAAAATGAACAAGGTAGTTAACAGAAACATCCTTAATATATAAACACAGATATTAATTGATTACAGAAGCTGTTTGACTGATTCATTATGAAGACAAATGAGGAAATAATCAAATAGCTTCTTAATGAAATCTTAAAATACGCATATTGGTATATAGAACTACATTTGAAAAATAGTATGCACATAATATTTAGTAGTTGAAACCAGATCAGACTCACAGCATCATCATAAGAGGAGCTATAGCAAGGGCCCTGCTCATCAGCACTGTTATAACCTTCATTTTCACAATGAGACCGTGGAGAAGATGGCATAGACCCCGTCGGTGATGGCCTAATTGATACACCAGGCCATCCTGTAGCTCTTCTAGATGGTCCAATCCGTACAGCATTTGAACCACCCGATGAACCTCTCCAAGACTTCTTGTTCATTGAAGAAGGTTTTGGAGGTGGCACAGGTGGGGGTGGCGGATAAGAACTGACATTAACCATCTGGAAGGAGCTTCCAACACTTGCATCACTTTCCTCCTCCACGACTGACAACCCACCAAACCCTTTTATCAAGTCTCCAGCACCCACAATATCGTCACCACGAACCTTCTCACTGCCCACATCCTTTTCGTCATTGTCATTCTGATCATTGTTAAACCTTTCCGGTGAAAGATCCTCACTTCTTGTTCCCTTGCTTTTGCTATTTAATACATCAGGATCTAATGACTCATCCACGACATTCTGTTCTTGAACTTCCCCCAAATTATCATCTCTGATTGATGGAACAACCTGTGCATTACTAGTAGCCTGTGGGAGTGGCGAAGTTACTGAAGACGAAGTATTGGGCGCCACTACAGAGGATGATCTGTTTTGATTTGATGATGATGATGATGATGACGACCCACTAGAACCACGTTGGACTAAAATTCGAGTCATTATTCCCACTTTCCTTCAAATTCAATACCAACGTGCTGTTACCTTTATTATCTATCTCTCGTACAAGACTACAGGTACAAAACTGTAGGTTTCAATTTACCCCGTGTTCTGACCTTGGGAGTAGTCACACCAATTCCTTGGCTGAATGATTTGTTTTTCCAGCCCACTAAGCTCTGATCCTCGCAAATCAATTTCTGCATTCCCCTAACAATTCTCATGAGATCTTGACCTCCTAAACTTTTATTTCTTAAACAATAAAAATCCTCTTGTTAAAAAGTACTCAAATTTACCAGAATTAGAGCCCCTTGATTACAAAATTTCACCTGCAACAGCTCAAAATTTCAATTAAAAATAAACAAAATCATCAAAAAGATGAAAATTTTAGTGCATATTAACCTCGATAAAACCAAAAAACACACAACTGAAATTCAAGAAAGTTTGAAGCGCAAAAAACCGACAAGAAGAATTCAAGAATCAACTATGTAAGATGAAAAAGCTGAATTTCTATATAACAACCTAAGCTGAACAAGAAATGATCCTCAAAAAATGGAAAAGGAAATCTAGAATCAACTGAATAAAAGAGTAAAGTATGATATTCTATAACACCAAATAATTCCAGGAAAAACACTTCACACGCATCAACAGAAAAAACAAACCCAAAGGTAAGAAAATAATCCAAGATTGGAATTGAACGCATCGATTGTTTAACAAAAAAAAGAGCATTGAGAAATATTAATCAGACTTTAAGATTCGAGATTCGTGGGAAATCAGAGATTTAATTAATTAAACAAAAAAAAAAACCCATTACCAATATCTCATGTTTTAAATATGATCCTTACACTGATATCTATATACGGCAGGTTAATTGAAATGAAAAAGGAAAACCCTAGAGTTGACCCACCATAACGAGTGAAGTAACTCACCAGAGTCAAGCAAAAAACCCGATTTGACGATGTAGCAAAACAGGGAGTCTTGGTCTGTCTAGGGTTTTTATGGAGCGGAGAGAACTTGGAGACGAAGAAATGGGAAAGTGAATATATATAGTGTGTATGTATAGGCAGAGAGAGAAAGTATAGTGTGTGTAGCTTTGTTGAAGGAGAAAAATGGGAGGCCGAGTTTTAAAGGAGGAGAAAATAAAAAAAGCAGGCCACGTGACTGTGAGTTTTTTTTTTTAATTACTTTTTCTTTTTTGCTTTATTTGTTTTTTTTTAATTATTTGTAGTAATTATAATTAGATCAGAGTGTGTTTGATACACATTTTTTATTAAAATATGTGATTAAAAATAAGTACAATAATGAGAATAAAAATGAGAATGTACCTCAAACTCGAGCTAAATTAAATTCAAGTTTTGTAGTAGAGGAAAGGGTCTGGTTAGTGCAACCTCTTTGTGAGGAGGTACTTGTTTTGGGAAGTTCAAAGACTATTTTGTGGAATTTCTTAACGGGGAAGAAACAAGTCAATTCATTTTTCAACGCACTCTTGTCTCGTATTCTAACTAGCAATATGTGGATTAAATGTGGGTGTTAAGAGTATTTTTAAAAGATTCTCTATTTTTAAAAAGTATATTTTACGATTTAGAAAGCATCTATAAATTTTACTACTTATAAAAAATATTTATTATTTTTACTAGCTTTACTTCAAATTATTATATTATTTTCCTGCATTTAAAATTGAAATATTTTGAATGTATAATTATATATAGTAGGTTTGATTCTTCAAATTTAAAGAGTCAAACGCACTCTCTAAATTTAGGCCATGTTTGTGAGCCACTAATTTCTTGAAATGTATTATAGGATATCAAATAGATGGAGAATGTGTGATTAAAAAGTAAGAAAATATTATTAGTTTGTGTGGAGAATATTTTATTGTGCGAATGTGTAGTGAAAAACGATATTGTAGCGAACAATTTAAAGTTTTAAAGGAAGAGAAACATTGGCTAAAATGTTTCATAAAGAGTCTCTTACGGTGTGTTTGATATGGTTGATTTTTCATGGAATTCATGTTTTTTGGTGTTTGATAGCATGTTTTTTCTTGGTAATTGGAATTGCCACTTTCTCTCACATGGTGACAATTTCTAGCTTTTCCTTGAATTCTTTTTCAAACGAACGCAAAATTTTGATTAAAAAATGATTTTTTTTAGGAATTTTTTTTCTTTTTTTACTTTTTGACAATAGAAACAAATTTTATAACCAATTGTGGAAAAAAATTATCACTTTAATGGACAATTTTCATGTAAAACAAAGTCAAACGAACACAAAATTTAAAATTTTGATGCATGAAAAATTATATCAATCAAACACACTAAATTAACAATTTTCTGCAAAACAATTTCTACGCAATTACTTTCCCTGGAATTCATTTTCTTTCCATCCATTTTCCACCATTGCAATCAAACGAACCCTTAGAATAAAGTTTTAAGGGTTGACTTTTTAAAATAGAGAGCATCTTATGTTTAATCGAAGTGGGCCCACTAGAGTTACATGCTTTTGGAAGTTACGGGACTATTTTGTCAAGTTTCTTAATGAGAGTTGCCTAATTGAGTGTCCAAGAAAGTTTTAAAGGGAAGATATAGGTCAATTCATTTTTCAACCCACTCTTGCCTCGTGTTCTAGCTAGAAATACGTGGATTAAATACGGGGAGGTTAGTAACATTTTAGGACAATGCCCGCCTAATCGAAGTAGGCCTACTAAATAGGCAACTGGTATTTAATCAGGCAAGGTCAATTTTGTTTCATACAAACTCTCCGTATATTATTATTTATGACGTGTCGGCTTTCGAACTCTCTTAGGGGTACTGACACGGAATGTTGTATCTAATTATTATTCAAGTTTATGCATTTAATGATAATAATGTATTTGAATTGAATGACATTTTATTTTTATTTTTTGTGAATCACGAGTGGCTTATAAAATGATGATAATAAATCATTGGCACTTGAAAGGCATAAATAGTTTTGTATGTGAAAATTTAATCAAGATTATAAAGAACTAGTAATAGGGTACATCACTCGATAGATTTTAGCGATGCAGATGCGTACATTCACTATTTCGTGGACAAGTAGTAACTTCTCTTTATAAAAAGAGAGAACTAATAATTTCATGAGATCAACTATACGCATCTATATAATTATTTTCCACCCCCAAATAAGCACTAAACTTCATTATAAATTTGAACACACTATCTCGTCGGTGCTTACGAAAGGCTACAGAAGAAAGTAGTACGAGAAATGTAAAAACGAGTGATGCCATAAAAGTAGCCGCCACTGCGCCACTAACGTGCAGGCAAAAGTCACCGAACTGTTGGCAAATCGCCAACCAATTGGTGTTGGAATTCCCATTATGAGCTAAGTACATGGTAAAAAGCTATCAACACCTGTAAAAATCATAGTTTCATTTCAAAGAGTACTCAAAATAGATAGCATATATACATATTTGGTAAGCTCGACTACATATCAAAGATGAGGAGCAAAGTGTCACGGACCTAAAGAACTCCCCTACCCATGTGGCAAGGCAAGATAGCTTATTGCGGGTTTATTGCTATATATCTCGGAAGTGCACTGACGATGTCCCTGTAACAGGTATTGATGGCATGCTTTCTATCCTTGTGTTGTGCTCATGTTGTGTATCGTGAGCTTGCCGGCCGCATGTGTGGGGTAGGCTGCCTTGGGGGTCCCCGGAACCTCAAGGGCCGAACGGGAGGTCCGTTACAAAAGGCAGCGAAAGAACAAGGTATCCACTTGCAATAGCATTTGCGACTACAAAGAACCTCCACATTTAGCTCTTGTTTGGTTCAGCTTAAAAAGTGAATAAAAATTTAAGTCAATGACAATAATAATTAATTATAAGCACAACTTTGAGGATACAAAACTTTTTGACAGATATATTCCATCAACTTTTGTCAAAATCTACTAAAAATCTGATTTTTATCTAAACGGGCTTAGTAGCATGACATGTTTACATGTGTTCGTCCTACATGTGTGAACTTTTAAGAAATATAAATTAATTACGTGAAACTTGGAAGGCCGTCGTAACTTGCTTGGAACTGAAAGAAATGAGTGAAGAAAGGGAGAGTTTGATCGGTAGTTCCCATCGTGACTGTGGCAGCTAAAGTAGCCACAAGCGCGCAAATTCTGAGAACAAAGTCGAAGATTGCAATGCCTCTTTTTGACCCCCATGTGGATTTGGAGTAGCCTTTGAGATAACATTGTAAGTTGCAGGAGCCTTTCCTTTCACAGATTTGGACTCTGCAATGTTGATTGGTGTTTCATCGGTGCTCTTTGTTGAATCCATTGGAACTTTACTTGAAGCTGGTAATGGAATAGAACTGATTGGGCTAAGAAACATATAGGCAAGGAACAGATGGAGTTAATGGATTAGTTTTCAAGGGGTGGAGTGGAGGAGTTGCTAACTTGCTCCACCTTTATACTTGACTATGAAACAATATTGGGTTATTTACACAGATGAATGGGAAAAAGTGTAGAAAATCGAATAGTTAATGCAGTTCGATTTATCATTTTCCTCCTATATATGAAATATTAGGATGGGTCTCTTTTTAATATAGAGAAAATAAATTACATCGCCGATGTAGTAAAATTTGACGGTAACATCATGAAGACATCTCACATTGATTGTGAACCACTTATGTTTCTTGCTTTTGTTTCGAATAATACTATGTATCATCTATGATACTATAACACCTGTCTATATCTTTAATTGATAGGTCATTTTAAATGGAACTTTTGTCCATATTTCGCATTATTAATTGCTCTCAGTAGTAGTAATATTCCTTCATTTACTAAGTTCACAAAAGCAATAAACGTAAATAAACCCGAAAAACCAAGCAATATTCAAGTACCAAAAAGGGCTACCTATATTATATCCGTACAACTAGACAATATTTAAGTACATAAAAAAGATAGATATATCAAAGTTGTTCACGCTCACTTCTTCATTTTTTGTTTAGGTTCTCGAAATTCTCAATCGCTATTTTTAGTGGGGA